TGACTCCTGGTATTCCCGGTTCAATACATAGAATGAACCAAAGAAGACTGACATTGCATCAGCAAAGGTGTTCTCTTTGTCCAGCTCAACAATTACACGCCCCTCTGCACTCACCATCCAGCAGGTGGCGGTCATTGAACTTTGTCCTTAAATGTATGGCAACATATTGTCATTATGCAACATAAAATAATTTCAATACTTCACTTCTTCACACTGTCTAGATAGTCATAAAGCAAATAGCTACGTACTGTTAATTATTAATGGCTTTATGTACATAAGTCCGTTTTAACATATTATAATTGTACATAATTGGGAATTATTCTGCACATTAAACACACCTAACAAAGAGTCAGCCCAGTTAAATTACCAGAGATGAATCAACTGTATGGTTATTTTGGAGTTCATAGTTTGTGCTGCTGTTAAACTTTACAGTATTGACTTCAGCATTTCTGCTGTTGGTGTAGCTAGACTACTACGTTGATCAGTAATATGTAATGTGAAATTTGATAATGTTACTTTGCTGGATTCACTGAGACACATGTCCAACAACCTTGGTTTATAAAGGAAATTACAGAAATTTGAGCTAACAATACAGAGACTGGATACCTGTGTCCACGAAAAGCTCCTGTGCCAAACAGAAATTTTAATATGGTCTAATCAGGGCGATCGTGGCTCAAGAGTTGGGAGTTCGCCTTGTAATCGGAAGGTTGCCGGTTCGAGCCCCGGCTTGGACAGTCTCGGTCGTTGTGTCCTTGGGCAAGACACTTCACCCGTTGCCTACTGGTGGTGGTCAGAGGGCCCGGTGGCGCCAGTGTTCGGCAGCCTCGCCTCTGTCAGTGCGCCCCAGGGTGGCTGTGGCTACAATGTAGCTTGCCATCATCAGTGTGTGATTGTGTGTGTGAATGGGTGGATGACTGGATATGTAAAGCGCTTTGGGGTCCTTAGGGACTAGTAAAGCGCTATATAAATACAGGCCATTTACCATTTATTCAGCTCTATTTCATGAATGACTTCTTACCAAGCATAATCAGCCTTCTTAAGCGATGCAATAAGATGCCCAGCTCTACAGAAGATGCATTAAAATTTATTTAGGTTTGGTGTGTCTCATTTTTTGTGTTTAGTAAATAAATTGGTCAAATGACCTCGAAACAATTATAGAAAAATCATTCATTTTACATCAATTTATTAATTTATAAATAGGAGATGCATTGAAATAAAATTGGTGCGTCTCATTGCTTAGGACTGATTTGGTGTTGATTTGTCCTTTGTGAAATTTACTGATGTTCCCCAAGTGCGCTGCTTTATCCACTGTGTCAATGGCGCTCTCAGTGTAATGTGATTATACTGTGAATCCATATACGTGTACCTTTTATACATGTTGCCTTTAGGGTTCAGCACTGCCCTCCATCAGCCTCACTCCATGCATTTTTGCAGCACATTTATGACCAATAACATTAAACATGTAACACACATTCGTCAAATAAATTAGGTCTGCATCAAGTCATCATCTGTATTACATGTGTAATCAAACATGTACGTTGGCGATTTAGAGAAACAGCAGTGGGATTGCGCATGTGTGTGTCCGCGATGAGACACAGCATCATCATTGCCTCCTCTCAGCGTTTTACCTTGTATTTGAACAGAAAATCCGTAATGACAGCAATTTTGACCATAAAAATATTGAAATCACACAGAAAGCAAATTTAAAATCTAATGTACAAATTGAATTTCTCTTTTGTTAGTATTTTACTTCTCATTAAGGTGCCTCACTTGACTGCATGTCACTGATTCACATGTATCTACAAAATATTCAAATATACACATATTCAGTTGAAAAAAAAATCTGATTAATGACAGACACAGAAGTTGAAGAAGCATTCAAATAATTTCAGAGCTCAATCAAGGTCAACTAAAATACATACCCCATCCATGGCTGCCATGATTAAGTTGATATTGCGTTTAGCTGTTCCCCCTTCTGTCACAGATTAGTAGGCAGAGGACTCACTCGCAGGACTCTGAAGTTTAGAGAGAGGGTGAGGTTTTATTTGAAATGTGACACCAAGTGAGAATATATACATATATACAGTGGAACAGATAACACGGGGCTCCAGGGAGTAGGGCGGGGTCCGAAGGGAAGGTCCAAGACGGGGGTACACACACGCTCTTCTTCCACTCGATCCGTAACTCAAAAATGTCCACACTAAGAAGCTCACGCTCACTCACACACATCCACAGAAATCCAGACGGCAGGGAAGACGGGCAGGGAGTCTAGAAGGCACTTGGTAATGTGATGATCCAGCGAGGAAGCAGCCTCTCTTGCCATCTTAAGTAGTCTGCCAGGATCAGTGTGAATGAGCCACAGGTGTGTGTTCAGGGTGGGTTCAGAGGCGGGGAACCAAGGTCCAGTTACGCCCTGGTGGGAGAGGTTAAGACAAACAATACACACACCACGACCTCTCCAGATCTTGAGAACCATGACACCTTCTCTTTGAACACTAAGAAGGTGGTCAGCGTAGTGGTCCAGCTTGGCCATGAAAGTTGACAACAAAGGGACGATGGTGATGCGGGCGAACTCTGCAATAACCTGAAACATATTAAAAATTACAACTAGAGAGTATTCTCTATTAATTTTATTAGAGGCCACATGCAAGAATGCTACAACTTTCAGTCAAACATTTTGTATCTTTTAAAATTAACAATTTATAGTACTTTGCTCTTCTTCAAATACAAGTTCTTATGAAAATGACTTGCAATAACAAAGTTAGTAAGAGTTACCTCAGTCTCTGAAAACAGGGCAGGCCATCTGTTTTTGACCTCTGCAATGAATGGCATGTCTTTGATGATTTCCTGTCTTCGGTAGCGATGATAGCCAATGGAAACTGATACAAGGAGTTAAATGCATTATATATAACAGTATTACACATTATTCTGCACTTCAATGACAACAGATGAACGCATGTCTTATACTTTACAAATCAAACTGTTAATCGCTTAAATCCCTGCGTTTGACACTAAACCAGAAATCAACATGGAGTCGAATTCTTTCAAACAATGTAGCAACTTAATTGATGCACATTTCTAAAATACACTATACATTCATTTCATTCTCCAAACTACAGGATCGCTGGCGCTCCCGGTGGTCATTACTGATGTCAGGGAGCAGGTGCGGTAGATGTTGGGAGTAATTTTAAAACTGTAGGTCTCAGTAGGCAAGTCTCACCTTAACAGGAATCGCAAAAGATTTTTGGAAAATTACACCGAAGCAGGTTCAACAATATTTGTTAAATGTCTTCATACTTCTAACACGTGAGAGAGGTATACAAGCTAGAGTGTTAAAAAATTTACCAGGCGTCATTTGTTAAAAAAAAAAAAAAGCAAAAGTATTCCCGAAAGTGTCAGATGTTTATCAGTTAGTATACATTAATCAAATTTGTCATCCTTAAATTGTTGTACTTACCAAATAATCCTCAGATGGCGATGGATTCTATCCAGGATACTAAGCATATGCAAGTCTCAGTTGAAAATGGCGATGATCAAACTTCCACACTGCATATGTGCAAACTCAGAAGTATGGAGAGCCTATTAGGACAATCCTCTTTAAATTAAAGTGTTCTTCATTTTAAATGAACTTTTTACGTTGGATTTAATTTACTGCATTTTGTTGTATTGAAATATTATGTTGTTAATTAAATTCAAAACAACATACTTGTGTTTAAAGTTAAAAATCAATTGGTGGCATTAGTTTTAACATAAAACATTTACATAATGCTACCAACATCAGTGTGTCATTTCTTAGAGTGCCTTTTGTGCTGTCTCTCGATGCTCTCTTCTCTCTCACCTCATCCTTCCTCTGCCTGAATCTGGTTCTTCCGACTGGAAGTTTCTTCCTGGTAAAAGGGAGTTTTTCCGTCCCACTGTTGGCAACTGCTTGCTCATAGGAATCATCTTATTTTTGTGGTTTTCTTTCAAACATTAAAGACCGTTTATCCTAAAAATACAAAGCATCTTGAGGTGACTGTTGTCGTGAATTAATGCTAAATAAATAAAACTGGAATGAACTGAACTGAACAGGTTAAGAACGGAGGTGAATAGGCTGCATGGGGGATCACAAAGCCTGGAAAAAAACAGGGTTAAACTAAATAATTTTTTTATTCCACGAATTTCCAGATATTTAAATTAATTTACTTTACTTTCATTTATTGTATAGTTTTACACATTTTGTAAGGGATTAATAACTTATCATTTTGCTGACTGCATGGGTTTAGGAACAGAAAATAAAATGCCCGTTAAAACTAAAATGCTGCAAATAGCCTATGCTCGTGGCTGGTAACATTTATCATGCCTAAAACTAATATATATAATATATTGGTACATGCAATCAAATGTACTGGGCCACCCACACATTACACCTACAGGCCATGCATGAAGCTCCCATCACTCAGTTTCTGTGCTGATGTTAATGCAGTGGAGGTTTAGAATTTCTTCAGTAACCCTGGCTATTTTTACACGCTCTGCCCTCAGCACCAACTCTATGGTCTGCCACTTTGTGACTGAGAAGCTTCCACTTTGCAGTAATATCACTCACAGTTGATTGTGGAATATCTAAGAGGGTTGGAAATTTTGTAAAGGCACTTTCCTGTTATAGCAGTGAGCTTTTCAAAACGACCCATTCTTTCACAAATATTTATAAAGGCAAACTGCATGGCTCAGGGCCTGACTGTGGCACTGGGACTGATAACACCGAAATCCAAAGATGAACAGGTGTAGATCGATACTTTTGAACATTAATGTATGTCATACTAATGTAAATCTTGGAAGCCAATAAATAACTATTACCGTCGTGAGTTTTAAAAAAAAAATTCGTTCATTTCTTTCGGAGATTCGGCACATCAGCAACTGCTCGATTCACACTATACCTACAGTTGACCGTGCTAATCGTAACAATAATAAGGATTAGGATGATAAGGATGGTCAATTTTGACACATTGCTCCTTTAAATGTGAGACCACCTGCTCCTCTGGCGTCAGCATCATCCGCAGGCGGCACGGTGAGGATCGATACGGCAGTGAAATGTTCAAAGTGGGATATTTTTGGAAGAACTCAGCAGGCACCGGAGGAGAGAGACCGTCACCGAACTGACTGGCTCGACGAGAGACGAGTACACAACCCGGTAATAGTCAAGGTAAGTCCCGTCAGCACCTGCAGATGTTCATTTATGGTTCATTGTGTAAGGCAGTGCGCAGAGAAAAACAGGGCGTTGTGTCTTGGCGTTTAATATATGCAACATTTAGCCTGTTGCGACGGGCCAGTGTGTGAAAGCTGTTACATGTTAAGGCAAGAACAGGCTGTACAGGGTCGGTGCAGGAGCCATGACAAGAAAAAAAGAAAGAAATGAGGAAAGGGAGAATCAGCACATGGAGATGATGGCATGGTGTAAACCAGTAAATATCAGCTATGATCAGAGCAGCTGTAAATCACATGTACATAATAAGAGTTTTTAGAGTATTAGATGCCTTAAGATTAGGCCACCCTGCAGATCTGCAGCTAGCAGCCAGCTCAGCAGCATAATTAAGATCACTGGTATTCAGCACAAGTGAAGGATTGAAATTGTTATTGTCTTAGTAAACAGGCTGATTTGTTTGTTCACTGCTGACACCAAACAGCTGTGATCTGGTTTTAAGACAGAGGCGAGCGGTCAGGGAGTCTTCTCTGACTGTGAGGTTGCGTCTTGGGAAAAAAAAAGTCTTTCGGCGAATCATGTGATCCAGAAAATATTTTGTCATAGACTCTTGTACAAGAGATGAGAATAAGGGCTGCTTGTTGCCATGGAGCCGCTGACCTTGTTGCCGTGGCAACAGCCGGCAACACTATGCCATGACTTGTGTGTTTGTGCGTGTGCCAGAATGTAGCTACAGTCACTAAAAAGGCACATTTTCACTTTTCCTGTCTGGATGGGGCCATTGATCTGAAATCACGTGGCTCCTCTTTTATTTTAGGTTATTTTATCAAATATGCAGCATATTTACAATTTTGATGTGTTACAGGAGGGACCCTTAGGCCCAGGTGCTAGAAACCTGTCCAGACTGGAGGGCTGCATGGGGGACGTGAATGCCATAGTGACCTCAAAACAGCCTTAACTCTAAATCTCTACACTCTGGTCCCTCAATCGGCAGCAGGAAGTTAAAACTCCGGCCCTCTTGAAGAAGGTTCTGTTTCATCACAAATGTGTCACCATCTGTAGCATTAACCAAGAGCGAGATTCTGCTAAGCTGACAATTGACTACACCCTGGGTGATGTGTAAATGTGTGTATTTCTATTCAAGTGTGAAGCAGCTTGGCTGTTAATCATCAACCTCAGTGAGGACGGTGAACGACACATCTCTGTCCCGTGTGGCTGTAACTCTTAGTGTGGTGTGTTTCTGGGTTGATCACATTTAGTGGACGTCATTCCTCCTCTCACTATTTCATGTTTACAGTTCTCACTGACTAATAGATCGGTTATTAGACTCCCTTTTTTTCTATTGTTTTTGGGCACATTTATCACAGCTTCTAAAGAGACCATCCATTAAAATCTCTGAGTGTTTGACTGTTTTTCTTTTTTATTCACAAATGCCTTATGTGAAATTTTTTTTTGTCTTTTTTTAATCACAGGTAGTCCCATGGAATCTCAACTGCTGGAGGACAGCTTTACTTCTGAACCACAGGCATAGCCAGAAATGTTCACCTTTTATCCCTGAATAATCGCTACTATGGCTTTTTGTAATGAAAGCTTCATGGAGGAGTGTAACTGCATGGACCCGAACAGCGTAGAGGAAACGTCAGAAAGCCTCCCATCAGAAGCTACGACTCCTCTCATATCAGTCACTCTGCGTGTGACCCTGGCAGCCATAATGATCTTCATGATTACTATCGGTTTCCTCGGCAATGCGATCGTGTGTCTGATTGTTTACCAGAAACCTGCCATGCGTTCTGCTATCAATCTCCTGCTTGCCACTCTGGCCTTTTCAGACATCATGCTCTCTCTGCTCTGCATGCCCTTCACTGCAGTCACCGTGGCCACTGCAGACTGGAGCTTTGGGAGCGGTTTCTGCCGCGCCTCCATCATGCTGTACTGGCTGTTCGTCCTGGAGGGGGTGTCCATCCTCCTCATTATCAGCGTGGACCGTTTCCTGATCATTGTGCAGCGGCAGGACAAACTGACCCCGCACAGAGCTAAACTGTTGATCGCAGGTTCTTGGGTGCTGAGCCTGTGTGTGTCATTGCCGTCAGTGGTTGGGTGGAGGGCGGGCGCGGCAGGTATCGGGGGCGCCTGGGCACCGCAGTGCGTGCTGGGATACAGCGAGTCCCTGGCAGACCGTGGATACACAGTCCTGTTGGCTGTAGCGGTTTTCTTTGTGCCATTTACTGTCATGCTGTACTCTTACATGTGCATCCTCAACACGGTGCGCCGCAACACCCTGCGCATCCACAACCACACCACCGAGCATTCCTGTCTGCCAGCCCTAAACCAAGTCAGCAAAATGAGACTTACCGGACTGCAGCGGCCGCCTCAGGTCAAGGTGGACATGAGCTTCAAAACCCGAGCCTTCACCACCATCCTCATCCTCTTTGTTGGTTTCTCAGTGTGCTGGCTCCCTCACACCATCGTCAGCCTGCTGGCCGTGTTCAGCCGGCAGTTCTACTACAGCTCAGTCTTCTACCCCATCAGCATAGGCGCTCTGTGGCTCAGCTACCTGAAGACGGTCTTCAACCCCGTCATCTACTGCTGGAGGATCAGGAAGTTCAGGGAGGCCTGTCAGGAGTTCATTCCGAAAAGCTGCAGACTGTGTCCCAGAGTGCCGGGCAGGAGCCACAGAAGAGTGAGGCCCAGCAATATCTATGTTTGCAGTGAGACGCAGTCAGCTGTGTGACACAGGGAGGAAACCCAATGCAGTCGAATGTTTTTAACTTTTTGATAAGCTATGGGATGTTACTGAAGTTCCCTTTACACAAGAACAAATTGGTTTTAACTTTATTGAAACTGGAGCATTTACAGTCCCATGACTCCCTCCTTTTGGGGAAGGTCATGTGAAAATCACAATTGCTGACAACTGAACTGATCTGGTGGTGACAATCATTTGTCTGCTGTTTTAATAAATAAAGTCAAAGTGTTCATTCAGCTTCATGGCCACGCAAGCTTCTGAAACATACTGACATTTAAAAAAACATTTTTATATCTTCCATTTTTGCTTTATTTTTCTGTTTCCTGTGCTGTCCCTGAGCTGTCATTTTGTTGTTTCATTAGTCTGAAGCTGTACCGTTGATAATAATTATGTTGTCAGTTATGTGCTAAGATTCAGAAAAACAAAAACAAATTACAGTATTGATGTTTGGTGATGTTCTCAGATGAAAGTCAGACCACTGTTAAAAAGTGTTTGATGAAATTTGTGTAGAAACACAGCCCTCTGTCAGCTGGTTCATGACTCTTAATGTTTCTGTTATAGAGGAATGAGTGTTAACTGCATTATCATGTCACATAAGATATGTAAATAAATATAGTTTTGGATTAAAGTTTCTTTGACTCTCTTCCTCTCTAACGATAAAACATGTAGAACGAGTAAGCTCATTGCATTAAAAGAGCAAGCCCTGCACAAGGGCATTATTTGTAAAGGGCCACGACAGTGGTATAGTTTTTTTTATGTCATCCCTGTGTACCACCCCAGTGGATTACGCAAGTCAAGTGCAGACTTTCAGCTTGACTGCTGATGGAGGTAGCAGGATTAATTGTGAAGTAAACAGAACTATACTCTCTGCTGCAAAACTTATCATACAGATCAAATGCATAATGAACCAAAGCATACTGCAATTCAAATGTTTCCCATGGCAAAGAAATAGGATATTCTTCAAGTCAGTCAACTGATCTCAACCTACCAGAGCATGCTTTAGGATTATGAAATGCAAAAAAAGTATTTTCATCCAAGAATTAAAAATAAGATCCAAATGAGCCAAAAACAAAAACAGAACCAAACAAACCCAAAAAATAATGATGCTCATCAAGGTTATTATTGTTAACTAACACTAGACTAAAACTAGATATGAAAAAAAAAAAGTTAACTAAAATAAAAAAAAGAGATATAGACTTTTGAAAATAATAAAACTAACTGAAATGAAATAAAATTATAGAGGAAAATAACCATTATTAAAAAATACATACCAAATATGTAAACGGTTTTAAGTGTCTAAAGCCAGTAGGAGGCAGTAATATTCCTGTAAGCTCAAGGATGCAAACTGTCGTATACCTCCAACAGCGAAGAAGAAAGGCAAACATGGCGACTTCCACGGGGCAAAATGGAAAGGCTGCTGGTACTTCGGATGCGGATCTCTTGCTTCACCCTGAGTTGTTGTCTCAGGACTTTATGAGGCTAGTTTTAAATGAGGTAAGTCGGTGTTTTAAAAGGAACTCTAGAAATGTGATTTGATGCGAGAATAAATGAAGAATGCGGAAATGTTAGCATGTAAGCTAACAAGCAGGACACCTCTCTGGTTACTGTTTAAGTACACTCAACTCAAGGCGCTGCTTGTGATTTTTAAAGTGGAGATATTTTTCTCTGAATCAGAAAAACGTGAGTACCAGAGACTGTGGGAGCAGGGACCAGCTCACAGAGCTCTACCTGCGGCATATCATCCCTCTGCCGCAGAGGACTTTACCCAACACCCGCTGGGGACGGAGGATGGAGAAGAGCCGAGGGAAGCAAACGCCGGTAGCTCACCGGTCAGACAAGTATGGGTCCACAGCTTCAGACATTTAGTACTTTCATGTGCAGTTTTAGGCTGTCTGCATATAGATAATTTGACTATGATGTTAGAATTTGGACCAAATAATTTGCCGAGTTCCATGAAAGGCGAAACGAATGTGTTATTACTGTAATTTCACTGATCAGTCAACAGACGTAACAACTCTGTGAAAGGCCCCAGGACAGATGCACTATATTGCTAAAAGTACTTGCTCATCTGGCTTCACACATATATGAACTTAAGTGACATCCCATTCTTATATCATTGGTTTTGATATGATGTTGGTGCACTTTTTTAAGCTTTAACAGTTTCTGTCCTGGTTGGAAGTCTTTCAGCAAGGTATAGGAATAAAATGCATGTAAAACAACATATTCAAAAGTTTGTAAAACAGAAACAATATCTTTCATCCATGGACTATATATCAGTATCTGGAAAACACATACAGACACAGTCCAGGTGTAAATGTGGCAAAACAAAAGAAAACTGTAGCCTGTAATGTAATGTAATGTTAAAATAAGATTAATGCATTTCAGAAACTGATTCATATGGTTTTTCAGCTCCAGCAGTGACCACAGTAGAAAGAGGCCTCTGATTGTGTACGATGGGAGCTCCTCTCACTCTGGCCCACTGAAAGTGAAGAAACCAGAGGGAAGTATAGTGTCAATAGGAAGCAACGACAGGTTAAAACCTCCACCAGCAGCAAATCTTTCCAACCCCATCCGCAAACTCTCAGGCAACACATCTTCCTCTCAATCCAGTCAGCGCAGCAGTGACACAAAAAACCTCAAACTAGAAGAAAATACGTCGGTAGGAACTTCTCTCCTCAGTTATTCATGCACAAAGAAAGTGATCCACAAGTGTTCATATTGTTTGTGTGTTTGGAGATATTCTAAAGAATCTGTAAGGACATTTATAATAAAAAAAATCATTTTATTCTTAAAAAAAGAAAAATATGCAGTTCATAATGCCTGTTTATGTTTTATCCTCCATCGTTTTAGGGGGCACTGAAGTCTCCGGAAGTGAAGAACAAGATCCAGCGTGTGACTTGGCCCTGATCTTTGGCCTCTTTTTCATACAGACCTGATGGGACCTCAAGGTCCGGCAGACAGACCACTCCTTTCCCTGTCCGTAACCTGTGGTTGTCCACTACCTTAGGTGTCCCATCACAATTTTCCCAACTCATTTATCCACAGAAAGAGGTGGAAACCCTTCAAGCTGTGGGTCAAAGCTGCTTAACTGTTGCCATTCAGTTATAAGAGCTTACAAACCGGGATGAAGTCACGAGCTTCCTTGATGTTTTCCAAAACCTCAAGTGCCCTTACCAGCATTAATCAGCAACTTGCATTAAGTCCCATCCAAAATGAGTGAGGTGAATTATTGCTCTTTTTATTCTGTTGCTGGTTTAGGTTAAAAGGCCCCGGGGTGATGAATGATGGCTTCGATGGCTGTGTGTTCAACTGGATGCTAAAGGATCTTATAACGTGATAACAATGGAAGTAAGCAAGAGGGAATGCAGACATGTTATGAAACAGATCTTTTTCTTCGGTGTATTGTAAATGAATATAGACAGATCATGGTGAGCATCACATTTTAGAAGTTGTGTGATCAGTGATTTTTATCATTTCTGTTATGAATTCAACTGAGATTTGCATTTGTCGAGCACTACATACGTTTTCCAGGATTTTGAAATGTCACTCTGGTGTGAGATTTTACATATGCTGCACATAACGATGGGATAAATAAAAACAATATTGAACTTTATTGTTAGTAGACCAGTAATTACTTGTTCATAAAAAGAGCATCGCAGAGAGGCTGAGTCTTTCAAAAGGACCACTTTTGTAAATACTGTTCCAAACATTTTGGGATGTTGTGCAAAAATGTAAATAAAAACAGAATGCGATGATTTGAAAATCTCATAAACCCATATTTTATTCACAACAACATATAGAAAACATATCACATGTTTGACCTGGCAGCGTGGCATTTTAAGAAGAAAATAAAGTCATTATGAATTTGATGGCCTTAACACATCTCAAAAAGTTGGGGCAGGGCCACATTTACCACTGTGTAGCATCACCTCTTCTTTTAACAGCAGTCCGTAAACATCTGGAAACTGAGGAGACCAGCTGCTGGACTTTTTGGGAGCGGACTTGTCCTGTTCGTGTCTGATCGAAGATTCTAGCTGTTCAACAGTCTTGGATCATCTTTGTTGTGTTTTTCGTTTTATGATGTGCCACATTTTCTGTTCTTGTTTTCATAACATCAAAAATGCAGACTTTTGAGCACATGGATGAAGCTGGATGGTCCCTCTCCTCTTTAATCCAGATGATATAGCATCCATGTTTTCCGCCCCCAGAAATTCAAATTTCAGCTCGTCTGACTGGAGAACAGTTTCCACTTTGTCTTGGCAGTTATAAATGAGCCTTGGCACAGAGATAACAGCTGTGTCTCTGGATCATTTTGACATATAGCTTCTTTTTTGTCTTTTTTTTAAGCCTTAACCTGCACTTGTGGATGCCACAGTGAACTGTGTTCACAGACAGTGATTTCTGGAAGTCTTCCTGAGCTTGTGCAGTGATCTGTGACAGAATCCTGCCTGTTTTCAGTGCAGTGCTGCCTGAGGGTGCGAAGATCACAGGCATCCAATACTGAGTTTTCACCTTATTGGTGTGCACAGAGATTCTCTGAATATTCTGCTGATATTATGTACTGAGATAACGAGAAACTCTTCTCAATTTTACATTTAAGACCATTACTCTAAAATAGATTGATGCAACAATTGTGAACACAATTCTTTGCAGAGTGGTGAACCTGTGCACAGTTTTACTTCTGAGAAGTTCTGCCTCTCTAAGATGCTCCTTTTTTTAATATCAGCTCATGTCACGATCTGTTACCAATTAACCTAATTAGCTGCAAACTAGTTCCAGTTGTATTTTTTAGTATGAGCTATTTTTCCAGCCATTTGTTGCCCCATCACATGTCGCTGCCATTAAATTTGAATTAAGCAAGTATTTTTTATGAAATAATAGAATGTCTCAGTTTAAACATTTGATGTTTTCTATGTTTCATTGTGAATAAATTATGGTTTAATTAAATTTCATAAAATTTGCAAATCGTTTCAGTCTGTTTTTATATTTTTTGGAATTGGGGGTTTTGTTTTTTGTTTTTTTTTATCTAAGGATAATCTTCTCTTTATGAACAAATTAACACAAATTATTTAAACCAAAAATACAAGTTAAACAACACTATGCAAAGTTAAAAAAAAAAAAAAACAAGTAAGAAACAATGGATTAAAGTGAAATGAAATGCTCTCCTGTGACAAGAAAAATGTAAATTTGCAGTCATACGGTATTTGAAAATCGTGTGGTAGGGGGACGGCCTGGCTTACTGACACCAAGAGCAAAGGCAGCAACTGTGCTGGCATAGGCTTATGTTAGTGAACATAGACTGAGCAACATCTGTAAAGGCATCAATAATGCTAAACAATACAGCATCACATACTTACATCCAGAAGACTTTTCTGTGCAGACCTCTTGCGTATTTTAGCCAACATTGCTAAGCCAACAGTGTAGCTTAGTAGGAAAAACATCCAAAAATCTGACCTGAAATCTCAACCCAAGCAAGACTTTGAGAACTACAAGAATTTACCTCCTCATTTTCCAAACACTTACCTGTGATGAGCAACACAGTGTTAAACATACCACTTAAAAACACAACAACCTGTTTTTCAATCGT